AAATGTACGTGGCAGTTGCCATAGTTACTACATGAATTACTGCTAGTGTTGTTGTGCAGGGGTAGGATTTTTAGTGTGTTTTTTTTTAAAAGAAAGAAATCTCGCTGGCCTCTGCAAGGGTCAAGATTTGCATTCTCAATGAGGACGCCTCCTCAAACGGGGCCGCTTAGGAAGAAGGCTATAGCCACGAAGAATTCAACATACGGCTGTTTGTCTAGATCAAGGGTGGGCGATTGGACTGTGGGCCACCAACAGCCACCCACTTGTGTTTTTTATTTTTATTTTTTGTGTGTTTTTTTTTTGTTGGAAAATTGGCAGGCGGCACGCCAAGGTCTGAGAGAACGCATCTGAAGGGTGCCCAGCCAGGTCAAAGATGCCTTGGAGTAACGATGCATCCATACGTACAGAGCAAGCGCCTTCAGAGTCACCCAGCTAGCTCAGTGGTTTAAGTCTCCGGCTACAGAGCCAGAGGTTGGGAATTCGATTCCCCACACGGCTTCCTTGATAGGCACTAGACTTGATGATCCATTTGGTCCCTTCGAGCTCTGCAGTTCTAAGATGATGATGATGATCGGAGACACAGGTTACTCCATACACAAAGAGGAGGAAAGCTACTGCCCCTGAATCTTACTTGGGGGGCTTCCTGGTGATCACCCTGTGGTGATGGTGGGGGGAGAACGCTGGGCTTTCGTTTCCCCCTTTGGCCGTTTATCCTCCAACTCTTGCGTGTCTCGGCCACTGCTGCTGGGTGCGGCGTGGCGCACCGTTCCGCTTGTAGGAAGCTGCCGGCCGGGCGGTCCTGACCCCGGCCGGCCGTGTGCTCCCCGGCCAAAGCCCTGCGCGCCTGAGCCCGGGAGTGGCTCAAAAGACTCGTGGCTGGCCCACCCTCTTGCCTAAACACAGGAAGGCAGAGGTCAGCAGGGGCCAGCCCACGGCCCAAGCCTCAGGAAGCCGGCTTTGGCAAGGGAAAGGAATACAAACAGCACAGCAGGCAAGGAGGGAGGGAGGCAGAGATGAAGCAGCATCGCAAGGCCTCTGATGCTGAGCTGGCTGCCTAGGCCAGGGACCCTCATGGGATCCTCTGGTTTCATGGATCTTTCTCTGACGAAGGTTCATCCTGCCATGCTTCAGGGGCAATGGGCCCAGTGCCTTCCATCCACATGCGTTTTTGATGTCAAGGGCCACTTCTCACTCCTGGCGTTTTTTCTTTGCTTCTGGGGGACGATTCTGCCGAGGTCTTCCAGACCTACCTGGTCATTTGACTCTTTTCTGCTGGGACATTTTCTCCCGAAGCAGCCGGAGGGACGTCGGCTCTCCTTGAGGGTCCTCATAGCCACTCCTCCCTAAAATACACACAAGGAGGTTGTAAATCTTCAGCAGCCTGCCCTCCAAGGGACGTTGACCTTGCAGAGGCTGCCTCTGGCCCCACACTGGCAGGCTAAGAGTGTGGGGGGAGAGTGTGTGTGGGGGAAAACAAGATTTGAACTCCAGGCAATTGTTCAATTTAGATTATTTCTCCAGGACACCAGATGTGGGTGGATGGACGATTGTGCGGTAGGCCTGCTATTCTGGGAACAGTTGGGGTTTTGTGTTTGTGTGTGTTTTAAAGAACTGAAACAATTTCATTTTCCTATCTTTCTTATCCCCCTGCCCCACCTTCCCCAGATGAAGAGGGAACCTCTCCACCCACCCACCACGCAGAAAAAGGGGGGAGTCACCACTCTTGTTATAAAACATGCTTCCTGACGGTATCAAAGTGGTCTATGCATTCCAAACAAACAAGGGCATCTCCGAATCCAGAACGATTGCGAAAGAATGCAAGGCTTTCCCCCCTCACAGGTACTGGCTCGGGACACATGGCAGCAATTTTGCTGCTTTGTGTATTTTGGCTCTGCTTTTAAAAGAAAGAAAGACAAAATGACAACGAGGAGAAAGCAGCTGCTGGATCTCCTACATAAAGGGCCGGGAGCTTTCAGCTCGCCTGGGTACTGCATGAGGCGGGCACGCACCCAATAGGGATTACGGGACGTTTTTGTGTCCTGCTTGCTTGCTTAGAGGTGCGACAAAATAGGCGCCTTGCCGTCGGAAACAAAAAAACATGTTGGTCCGTTTCGTGGTTGGCCTCAAAAAGTTCCACGGCACCTTCGCGACGAACATCATCAGGGGTTTTTGCAAATCACAGCATAATAGAGGAAGTGGACTGCACGTTAAAATCTTTATGCCCCACCTTTCTCCTGAAGGGAACCCAAGTGGGCTTACAATATTTAAGAACAAACAATATGAAGACTGGAAGGAAGGAGCCCAACTCTTAGGCAGTTAGTCACCGGAGGGAAAAAGAAGAAAAGATTACCTGAAGAGAAAAGTCTTAGCCAGCCTATGGAAAGATAGCAAAGAGCAGGCCAGCCTAGCGTCCAGTGGGAGGGAGTTCCATAGCTCATACGCACCTGGTACTTGGGAGATCTACTTTCAAATCTTCATTGGGACACAACATTCACTGGGTGACCGTCCTGACCAACTTTGCAAGATTGCTGTACTTTCCTTCTGCATTCATCAGAGGGAACTTTAGAGATACAATCATCAATAATAAGCCAAGCTATTTTGGCTCTCTCTTTTTAAGAATGGCCTCACGAGTTAATAATAAATGGCTTTTTTCTGGATACTGTTGGCTGTTCCATTAGATGTGAGTTGACCAGGAAAGAACCACCTTTTTAGACCGCTCTTTTCCCCACCCAGAGAGAGAGAGCAGAGGGTTTCTTACTCCCAACCAGAGTTTTCAAACAACTGCATCCAAAGCTGGTAGTGGAATGCCAACTTCCGTCCGCTGTTTCGTTGCCTCTTGCTTTTATTCTTTCAGAGTTTTAAAACACCGATAAAACATCTTTCTACTACCACATGTTGCCTTGAATATACAGTTATAAAGCTGCAGGGGAAGCTGTGTAAATATGCCAACCCCTCAAAACCAACCCCCCACACACACACACTCCCTGCTTAGCAGCAAGCAAATGTCTGTCATTAAGAACAATCAGTACATAAACCACAAGGATCTTGGGAGTGTGAGGGGCCCGTTTATTAATTTATCTCTAATACTTGAATACTTGTTTGCTAGTATGAGATCACTGTTGACGTTATTGCTTTTCTCTCCACAATTAGAATGTGGCTGCACACAGAATCCTGGGTACATCTCCTACAATCCCCTGGAAAAAAGGATTCTGGGCTTTTTAGTCTACACACGCACATACAAAAAAACTTTCTCAAGCCCTGAAACTGAAGCGTGCATGCAGGAATGCGAAAATCTTTTCAGGCAGATAACATGCTCTGTGCAACAAGGCAAGGATTATGGGCTTTTTAGTCTACACACACACATACAAACACACACACACACACACAAACTTTCTCAAGCCCTGAAAATGAAGCGTGCATGCAGGAATGCGAGACTCTTTTAAGGCAGATAACATGCTCTGTGCAACAAGGCAGCCGGGCTCCCACCTGATGTCCTGTGACACAACCGATTAATTTCAGGTCTGTCGTGACAAGCTCTGGCACAGGTTACGGCCTGCACTGAAGCACAAGCAATGTTTTCCCACGTTGCAGGTAAAAAAAGAAGGGGGAATGGGGCGTGAGAAATGAAAAAGAGCCCCCCATGACAAATCAAGCCGGGTCTGCTCTCTATCTGCCAGGGAAACGTCTCGGCAAATTCCACCAAGGCGGCTTTTAAAGTCCCAAACTCGGTCTTGACGTCTGACGGCTCTAAGATTTCCAAGAAACCATTAGGGTTCCACCAGGGTGGGAGGCAGGAGGGGGGGGTGGCTGATGATTGACAAAAGCGTTAAGGGTAATGCTGAACAGACCTGGCTCCAAACCAACCGCCGACCTCTAGAGGCGGCTTCGAGGAGAACAAGGACGAAACCCTTTGCAGCATCCATCTGCTAGGAAGCTTTCCCAGCCGCACGGAATCCAGCCGCCTTACCAATCCAAGGGAACCTGGTCTGCTCCCTGCCCTGAGAAACTTTCCTGCACGGCTAGACTGTGGGTTTCAGTGGAGGCACATTAAAGGAAAGTGGGAGAGACAGAGAGACAGGATTAGGGAAGGCACCGGTTCAAATTGCCAGGACAGGACAGTGTGGGCCAGTTGTGACCCCTCAAGCCAAACTACCTCACAAGGCAGCTGAGAGATAAAATTAACAGGAGTGAAGGTGAGAGAACCACATCAAGAACACCTTGACCCTGCGTTCTTCACCTTCGGAATTCCTCGGAAAAGGAGGGTAATAACAGAAAGATAAGGAGCACTTCCATGGACACTTTTTTTAATATATAAAAAGAAAAATCTATCTATATAAGGCACCCACTTCAAACACAGGACAGGGAGAGAGGGGGAACAATCACAGATGCTGGGGTGCTGAACAGAACCCCGAAACACAAGCGAGGTTTGCATTAATCTTTCCATTAATCCTTTGTGATTCTAGGAAGCACGAAGACTGCTCCACAGGAAGTCTTGAGAAAGTTTGAGATTGGGGTTTGGAAGGGGAAAAGTGTAGCTCAGCCCAAAGTAAGGATACATTATGCGCCCCCATCTGTGGCTAGAAAGGGGTGACAGAGGTCACATCCACACACACCCCAGGCCAAGAACCAAGAAACCTCAAAGCCTACAGTTCCAATATAAGAGAACAGTGTTCAGTTAGTAGGTTCATAAGAGTTATAAGCACGCTATCACTGCAAGGGAGGAGGTAGGCGAGCAAATCAGGAATGATCAACCCACACCTAATGTTCGCGTTTGACTTCCCATCCTAACCACACAGCCGGAACGAGCATCATCCACCAGTGAGTCTCACCGTTGTTGTTGTTTTCGTAAACTTAGCTATTCATGTCATGACCCAAGAAAGGTTCGTTTTCCTCACAAGTATCCCAGGGAAACAACTCAAGAATTTTAGACCTGAAGTTCTCAACCACTTCCATCCCACCTTTCAAAAACACACACCACCGAATTCACGAGACCAACTGCACAGTTTTAAGGAACATAAATTTAATGACTCTGAAGAGATAGATTTCCACTGATACACATCAGTAAAGTGTAATTTGGACTCAAGGTTCACAGAGACTAAATCTTGAATTTAGATTCAAGACTCTTCTTGTTTCACACAGACCAAGGTGTCCATCTGAGCTGCGTGTCCCTTTACCAGTTAAAGAAATAAACCCGGCTACCGTACCGTGAAGGCTTCAACTCGCCTTCGGCTGGCGGGTTTGGCGGCGGTCTTGGCTTGGAATGGTAGGGGTTCTCGGGGATCGGCCGGTCGGTCTGCACTTTGGTGACCTGGAAAGGGGAAGAATCACACTGCAAGATCTCGCTGGCCGCAAGAGGCAAAGGAATCGCAAAGAACGGGAATGTCGAGCAAAAAGAAGCCACGTCAGGGAGCTGAGGCAAGGAAGAAAGTCCATGCACAAGAGGACTCTGAGCTGGTGGGCACTCTCCACCCAACACTGAGATGCTTTCCAGGTGTCCTAGGTTGCTGCTTCCAGAATCATCCACTCAACCACGCAGAATTACAGTCTTGACGCATCTGAAGGGCTAATATTTCAGGATGGCTGCCTTATGGGATGTCAAGACCACCGGACTGACCTGTGCCAAGCTTGCCTGCTCTGACCAGCAGCGGCTTTTTGGGGCCTCGTCTTAGGCCAACCCACAGGAGCTAAAGTAAATGAGGAACGAACTGGCACTCTTGTGATTCTAGCGCCAGGGCTGTAGGGCTCAGCTCAAGAAAGGTTAAGCCAAGGAGAAATGTCTTGAGAAATGAAAAATATATGGACAGGTGCAATTTCCTTGAAAAGAAATAAGGGTAGAGATATTTGATATATATCTGTAAGCACGTAGGAGACACAATGCAGACGTTCCCAAAAGGAGTCCTAATTTATGTTGGCAGAATATAATGCTTATGTCCACCAAAACAAGAGAAACACAGTGCTCATCCCAGTAGTCCAAATACATAAAACAACCTGTGCAGACTGGCTAAATATGAATTCTTTACAGTACCTATATATTCTTTACAACACCGGGAGAGAGGGAAATCCATGTGGTATGTGAACCAGAGGTTCTAATGAAGGGATACTATTTGGGTTTTTTCTGGGAATAAGTCTGTATTTGTAGCTCTTAAGATATTTTACCAGTAACACTTACAGCCCCAGAAAGAAAGTAAAGCTGCCTTTTCATGTGAGCAGCTGGGTTAGCTGAGACTTCTTGATGTGTCAACGAAGAAGCTGAAGTTGTTTCCCCAAGGAAATTCTGCCCTAAAGAAACATATGGGACTTAAAATCCCGATCCGAGTCTTCTAGAGCATGAATTACACATCCTTGAACAAGACCTCTCGGCTTGTTGGGCCTAAATGGACTCTGCAATGTTTGAATATTTAATGTGATATGTGTTGTAAAAATATATGTGTGTGTTATAACGCATTCGAATTTAGCCAGTGTGCACGGGTCGTTTTATTTGCATTACTTGAATATAGTGTTTACAGCAGCAACACTATTCACTTTTTTTCTACCTTTAAGGAAATTTGTCAAGATCCAGGAACCAGTCCCACCACCTCTCGATGAAATGCAACAAGATGCACCTCCAACAGGCATGGAGCTAACAATCCACTTCTACCGATGAAGGAACCAAACAATTCCAAGCAATTCACTGGGGACAAGGGCAACAGAAACAATCACAGTTTGGGATTTCAAATCCTCCCCTGCTCGGCAGGATGCAGCAGCAGCCAAAAGGACAGGTAAGATCTGAAAGCTAACTCTTTGAAAAAGTGTTATTTTAACAGACAGGTAAATATCTTGCAGAGACTGGACTCTGGATCCACCAAGCTTATGTTCTTCTACTTCAGGGTGGACTGCATGCAAGGCGCCTCCTCAGTCCTGGAAGGTAGGCAGCTGAGGTGCCTCTTAACTCGAGCCACTCACAAATGTGATTAAAAGACAAACCTCCTGAGCGTGTGGACCAACTACTCCACCACACGCTGCAGCAATTAAAGACTGATCAACTGGATGGGAGTGGAGAAAGGATCCAAGATCCCTTCGCCCTTCAACTGCTAACCCTCAGCACAGGCTGAGTACCACGGGCAAAGTGTTTCAACCGCTTAGGCCTCCTGCAGATCGAGGCAGCAGCAATCCTGGAGGCAGCACAAGCAGACCGAAAAAGCGTGAAGCATGTTTTAAGAGACACGGCGAGAAAGGACTGAAAGCAGCAGCCAGCTCACCACAGGGATTGAGAACCCTCGAATCCAGAGGCCAAATCCAGCCCTCCTGAAGTTACTGCTTGGCCCTTTTGCACCGTTCTTTGTCCCTACGGTAAAGGCTGAAAGGCCTCTCTTGCAGCTTCACAGGTACAGATTTAACCTAAACTAAGTCAACATTTCTGCTCCTACGTTTCTGGCCTTCAGACCCACCGGTAGCTCAAACTGCAGCCCCAAAGAAGTTCTCCGGCATCCAATTTGGGTTGGGGAAAAAAGTTCCCGATCTCTGCACTTGACCGACACTCAGCACAGGTCAAGAAGACACACAAAGAAAGACGTTCCTCAGTTACCTTGGAAAGGTGTCCCAGGTCAGGTCTCACCCAGCCCAGCTTCTCGAGCACACACTCGTCAAAGAGGTGCTGCTGGCTTCGGCAGAAGCGAAACTCCTGCCCGCCAGTGTGGTCGAGACAGGTCCAATAGCTGGTAAATGGCTCGGCACAGTGCCGCTTGATCTGCCTGGAAACAGCAAGAAGTGGTGTGGGTGTTTTCCCTTTCACGGACAGAAAAGGTGCAGAATGGCTTTGCAAGGCCAATGACACCTGCCATAGGATATACAGGATGATTTAAGAATAGAAATCAGCTTAAAAAGTCATCAGATTAAAACTTTCATTCTACCCTTTTTCATTTAAAAACAAACAAACTTTACCTATCTTTGATTCACAGTACCACAGCTGTCATCAGGGACCCTCTAACCGGCCTAACAGATCATTTAAGGGAAAAATATTTTAATAGGAGGGTGCTAAACTTTCCACCTGAAGTGCTTTTAGCACTACTTTCAACTCTGCTGTTGTTTTTAACAGGATGAGCCCTTTCGCTGTCGTCCAGTTTGACAACTCACTATCTTTTCATTTGCATTTTATTTCTTACTGGACTGAGCCATGTTGAGTCCCTGGGTTCGCACCCCCACACAGTCCTGAAACCCAAGAGATAACCTGAGTGCTCGGCCGGAGCCCTACCCACCCACCCTCCGGGCATGGGGTTCCAGCTGCAACCAGAAGCAAAAGGGGGGCAACAATGGCTCAGCTTTGCGGCCCCGATGCAGCACTGCATGTGCCCATGCAGCTTAGAAGAAACACTGGTAGGGAGGAAAGGGGAGTCCTTATATATACCACCTTGAGTTAACAGGAGAAAAGTGGGGGCTTAGATGGATGGAGTGCTGAGGCTTATCGTCATGACACACTTGCTTTGTACAACAGGTGGAAGATATTTATTCATTTATTTAAAATATCTAATGATTTCTTCCACCCAGTCGAGGAAAAATGGGCACTGGGCTCAATTAATGTTTTCCATGGGGCAGCTGAGCTAATCTACCGCAGCACATTCAGCAAAAGTTGCACAGCGCCCCAAAAGTTTGCACTAAGATCCATCCATTTGGTTTGAAGGTGTATCACACAAATCTTTATTTTTAACAGACCTCAGGACCTGGGCAAGCCAAATGTTTCTGGGCAGGGGCATACCTGAAGAAGTCCAGGGCACACTTGTTGACTTCTCTGCCTTCATTCAAACACTTCCGGGGGTCCTTCTCCTCCCAGCGACACAGCATGAACTCCTTGTTGGCCTTGTCGCACTGCGAGCCATAATGGTGGGCGGCTGCTTTGAGGACAGCGGACGACACATTTAAATGAAAAGGAAACCAGTGAAGTGATGTATTTATTTATTTAAAATATCTAATGATTTCCTCCACCCAGTCGAGGACAAATGGGCACTAGGCTCAATTGACCTTTTCCATGGGGCAGCTGAGTTAATGTACCGCAGCACATTCAGCAAAAGTCGCACAGCGATCCATCCATTTGGGTTGAATGTGCATCACGCAACTCTTTATTTTTAACAGACCTCGGGACCTGGGCAAGCCAAACTCTTCTGGGCAGGGGCATACCTGAAGAAGTCCAGGGCACACTTGTTGATTTCTCTGCCTTCATTCAAACACTTCCGGGGGTCCTTCTCCTCCCAGCGACACAGCATGAACTCCTTGTTGGCCTTGTCGCACTGCGAGCCATAATGGTGGGCGGCTGCTTTGAGGACAGCGGACGACACATTTAACTGACAAGGAAACCAGTGAAGTGAGCAAGGGAAGGACTTGCAAATAACGCTGCGTATCTGTCATCACCATCATAAATTGGAAGAGAAACATTATTTTTTCTCCCACACATGTAAAATCATAGGACTTTTCCCCAGCTTTCACAACAACCACGCCATAAAGCTTACAGCACACTCTGTGAGTTGCACCATGTCACACAGACAAAATAACAACCCAGACCGAGATGTTTTCAGTGCCATATGGTGTAAAGGTGGTTTTATATATATAATATATACATATATAAACACATGCACAGGATTTCTGGATATGTATAAACACAGACAATTTGTAAATGCACTATTTAGAACACAAGTGGGGAACAAAGGACCTTCTAGAAGATGTTGGACTGCAAGTCTAATCAACCCTAGTGAGCAGAGCAAAATAAATAAATAAGTGATGGTGGGTGCAATAGTCCAGCATCATCATGCACAGGACTTCTGGATATGTATAAACACAGACAATTTGAAAATGCACTATTTAGAACACAAGTTGGGAACAAGGGACCTTCTAGATGATGTTGGACTGCAAGTCTAATCAACCCTAGTGAGCAGAGCAAAATAAATAAATAAGTGATGGTGGGTGCAATAGTCCAGCATCATGTGAAAGGAGATTCATTCCTCGCTGTTGGTTTAAAGGGAAGCCTTCTGAGTAATGGCTACAAATTAAGGGTTTATAAACCGGTGCCAATCCAAATCAATCCACAAGGTAGGAATGTGATTGAAAGGAAGAAAATAAATAAATGGCAAAGATCAAAGAATTTAAGCAGTGATTTTTAATGAACTTGGGGAAGTCAAGCTAATGGTTTCACAAATCTGCCTCAGAGAAATGTTTTCGGCACTTGGTTTATGTCAAAAAGAACAAGCGCTCTATGGATCCGTGAAGGTCGTAGATTCGGATAAACGAATCCAGATTAAAACAACCAAATAATCTTGTGGCATCCTTTGCTGCCCAGAATAGACCTTTGGTCTAGATGAGTGGAGTAGAAGTGAAACAAACACACAAATAATATTTTTAAAAATACCAATAGTCTAAAACGCTATAAATCTTTCTGCAGCTGAACCCTAATTTTTAAAAAGCTTATTTATGAATACAAAATTTCAGGCCTCACAAGGGGTCTTCCCTTGTTCCTGCTGTCAAACTGCTCCACCTCTGTGGATTCTAGATCTGGGGAAAGTAAACAAGACCTGATCTGTTTGTTTTTAAGGTGCGGTATTTAACTTTTTTTTGTTTTGTTTTATTTTGGCCTTCCATACTTCTATTTCACCTTCCCCTGACAGGGACTCTCCTGGTTGCTAAACGGTTGTACCTGTATATGGCTAAACGTTTTACAGTATATGGAAGAGATAACAAATCATACCACAGTTTACACACACAAAAAAAATCAAATAAATAAATAAGAGACACACTCTCTTTGGCCTCCTCTGTTCAAAAAAAAAAAAAGCTCAACTTTCCATTCTTAACTTTATTTTTAAGGCTTTCCTATTTCATAGTACAGACCACGTGTTGAGGGGCAGAATAAAAAATTGTCTCATTTAACCACCAAATTTTGGCCCAAGAAGCCATTTTTGGGGAGAAGAAACCCACCAACTTCTTTATTCCTTCCTCTGTCTCTTTTTTTTTCCTCATAGCTTGGAAAAGTTACTTTTTTTCCCTGGACCTCCACATTCAGAACCCTGGTAGAGAGAAAGTTGGTAATTCTTTGTTACATTAATGGGAACAGAAAGCCCTGCAACTTGGAAAAGTTACTTTTTTTCCTGGACTACAGTTCCCAGAATCCCTGGTTTAGGGAAGGATGAGGTTTTCTCTTCCCCCCCCCATCTCTGGACCCTGACTTTGAGGGTTGGGGGGGGTACCTGCAACTTGGAAAAGTTACTTTTTTCTGGACTACAGTTCCCAGAATCCCTGGTTGAGGGAAGGATAAGGTTTTCTCTTCCCCCCCCCATCTGTGGACCCTGACTTTGAGGGTTGGGGGGGGTTGAAGGGCCTTCGAGGGTGAGAGGAAGACTGAGGGGGGGGGTCCGAGCCGCCCCCAATATTTTGGAAAAGGGGGAGGGGGAGTCCGGTTCCCTCCTCAGGGTTTCGTCCCCCCCCCTCACCTCCTCCTCTATTAAAGCCGCTCCCTCACCTCCGGCGCTTGGAGCTCGTCCAGCGAGGGTATCTCAATCGTGGTCGGCATGGCAGCAGCGACCGGCACAACCCGAACTGACCCGGCACGGCCTCCCCTTGAGCTCCCCTTCGCTGCCCTCCCTCAGGAACTAGGCCGCAAGCCTGCGGCCAC